CCTGAACCAGACTCACAGAGACTCCCCTCCACACCCCGGCCTCCGGGGAGCTGCTAATCAACAAACCAAACAACCCGGAGTCGGCCCAGAAACAGGACCACAGCAGCACCTTCCGTGTAAACACCATTTTGTGTGTTTCTCCATTATGGCTGGTCCAGAAGAACAGGCTCTTGGAGAAAAGGGGCCATAAATCTCACTCAGCCTGATATGTGGCCAAGTCGCTGATGATTAAAAACACCGCTCTGAAAATGTCATGAGCCAGAAGTAACAGCAGCTAGCAGAATGGACAAAGCTACCAGGCTGTTTCAGGGTTTTTTTTTAAATTCAGGACTTGGTTGGCTAAACAAATTTTGACTTGTGTAGAAAGAATTAGAAAGCTGCAACCGCTAAAATATTTCCTAATTCAAACGTCTTCTCTCCCCTGAGATGTCAGTTCAGTGAGGGAGATTACTTCAGTCAGCTTCATTGGTGTCAGTCTGTAAAAGCTGCAATGAATCCTGAATGACTTTAAAAGGCCACTCAGGTACCCTAAACAATTTTATTAATATCCTTCTGAGTGTCCTTTTGTCGTCTGCATGTACTTCAAGAGGCTCTGGCAACCAAAAAATGGGTTGAACAGAGAGTTAATACTGTGGAATCAATTAGTTGTTAACTGTTGAATTAATCAGTTGATAATCAATTGAGCCGATCTTTAGGTTTGAGCATTTTTTTAAAGGATAAGAAGTCTAGTTTCGTAGATTGATTATAGTTTCTCTATTCCTTTATTACAGTAAACAGAATATCTTGGGCTTTGGGAAACACTAATCAAGAGCTGTTAGCATTCTAGTACATTTTTCAGACCAAACAACTTAATCAATTAATCAAGAAAATAGCTTAAGACTAATTAACAACGGAATTATTAGTTGCAGCCACAGTGGCACAACATGTCGTCCATTAATGGCTACAACGGAAAACAGTTTTGGCTTTGAGCGGTGTTGCCCCCATGTAAAAACATTTCTACCTGTCTCATTTAATATTAATAAAGACTAAACCAGGCACATGTACTCCGCAGGTGCGCTTTGTTCAACTGAATGTCACTTGCCTAAGCCACGTCACCTTGTCATCAAACGCTGTTTCAATACTGCAACAAGGCTTCTGCCATTATATGCTTCACAAAGTACCGTAAATGAAAGAATGTTAGGAATGCAATTACGGAGCAGTGCTGCCGTGGAGCCATCAACGGCAGAAATCCATCACTGAACCACAAATCCGCATTGACCATGAATCCAGGTTTTTATTGCATTGATTATACATGTGAGAACAGCCTGTGCTAATGCAGCAGGCAGACGTTGACGGCTGGATTGTTATTGCATTTTGTTGGTGTACGCAGGTGAGGTGTGGAGCATGTAAACACCAGCTAATGATTATAAATACACACATTTAGAGACGTCGTACAACAGCAACATATGGACGAGATCATTAGGATTACATGGGATAACCAACGTGCCAGTTAATAAACAAACAACAACCTTTATCAGATAGACTGTTTTGATCATGTCATGTCTTCTTGACCAGTTCTCCCTGAAAAATGAGATTTTATTCTCAAGAGACTTCTTGGTTTAACGGGACATTTAAAGGCCCTTCCCTCATCTTGGTTATTTTGCAATTAACTGAGTAACAGCCCTGGAACATTACTGAAAATTTACTAAATAAAACATTTCTAGTGGCAATCAGTTGAATTTAATAAGATGTCGGCAGGCCAGTCAGCGCCTTATCGCGGACCTGATTAGGCCCGCAGGCCGTACGATGCGTATCAACACTTTGTTTCCGCGACGGGCAATCGGGGCTCTTCAGAATCATTTTTACGGCACAAAATATTTTCTTTTTATCTCCAAGCAAGCTTAAATTGTCGAAGATTTAATTGTCACAGCAGCCGTGAGAGCAGAAATTGGAGGCTGATGAGTGAGTGAATGAATTTCAGTTTCTGGCAGGTCGGACAGCCTCTAAAGCATGGAGCTCATTCCGCTGCGGTTTCCAGACAGCACGTACGCAAAATCCATATCGCAAACATTTCAGCAGTAAGAACAGCTTCTTCCTCTGCGCTGAACAAAAACATCCTTACTCCAGCTGCTCCTATCAGAAAAGATGACAAACACAAAACTTCCACCAGACTCACCAACTTTTTTATGGATCCTTCAACGATTTATTGGGCGAAACCAGAAAGTTATTTGGTGTGTGAGATGATAGGAGTGCTGCAGGAGGAGTGATATGCACACTGGTGTTTGGCCTGGTGTGAATGATGTTCGGTGGGCGGACTGCCTGATGGGAGCTGCCGCTGAGCGCGTATGACGATCTCGATAAAGGTCTCGTACACAAAAATCCCTAAACATATAACATCACGTGTGAGTTCAGAGTCGTCGACATGCACCGAGTCAAAGCAGATCAGAGAGGAGCTCTTTCCTTAATGCAGAGCAGAGCAGCGAAGACAAAAACAGAAGAAAAGAACTCAAACTCTTCTACTGTTTTCGAAAAGGTGATTAGAAGATCTTTGGGAGCAGATGGTATTTTGATGTGCGGAGTCGATGTTTTAGATAAGCTCTGATCAGTCACGCAGGTTTGTGAAAGCACACGAGGTTTCCATTGAAATTCGAGGCAGGGGTCAATGAGAGGAAAGTAGGGGTTTGGAAACTTTTTCTCGGTAGCACCCTGGGTAGGGATCGCACATTTAATTGGGCAGCAGGGTTGTATAATGGGTATTCATAATGGCAATAGCACTCAAAGAAAAACTGAGATTTTCAGAGTGAATGGTGATTTTAAGGGAATTAAATGGGAGACACAGTGAGGGTGTAACATTTAAGTGCTTACATGTAGCTCCTAAACATCAATAAATCATTACTTCAGTCACTCTATACTGCTTTTTAGTGCATACGCCACTGGGTTGGATTTCACAGAGAATTAGCCGAAATTAGTCACGCTGCAAAACTGAGATTGCTTTACATCTCAGGAAGAGAGTTATGTTCTTTAAGTGCAAGCTTCAACTTTCTTCAGACGGAAACAGACCGGGCTCATCCGAGGTCCGAAGTTTCCCTCGCTCACGCCAGTGGCTCAACTTGACCCCGCAGTAAAGTGATGAAATGTGCAAGCAACATTTCAGCAATTGCAAGTACTGAAGCAATGATCGTATGCTAAAAAGCATGAACTTTTTTGTCAGAGTTTCTTCTTTCACAGTTGTCTGGACACACACAAATTTCCTTCTGAAGAACCTTTGAAGAGTGAGGAAGCCTCACTCTACATCGCGCCGTCATGCTTAGATCAAACTTTTCCTACGATTTAATTTCTTGAGACATTTAGGAGTCTTACCTTTTGACTTGAAGCACCATCAAAAGAACTCAGACCTGCACCGGTTTCAGTTTAAATGATCACACCTAAAGTGAACTTTTATCTGTAGGCAGTTATCACTTTACACGTAAACTAACACAGGGTTCCCCAACATTGTAAAACTGAAACTGACTGATGGACTGAAAACAAACAAACAAATAAACAAACAAGAGAAAAAAAAAAAGAAAATCCTATTACCTCCCACACAGCCTGCTATTGGCATCAACACCCTATCACACTTGAATTTATTCTATGGCACTTATCTAGATTGTTTTCTCCTGACTACATCCTTGCTTGTGTTGTATCTGCTCTCAGCTTTGGATAAAAGCGTCTGCTAAGTGAAATTATAGAACTGTATTCCACATTTTCATGTTGTACCTGAGCCAAAAAGCTGTGTCAATAGCCACTTGAACAAGATGAAGGTATCCGTTAGCGACTGAAGAATAGGAATGTGAGCATCTTTAACGTGCAGGATTAAGAGACTCCATTATTAAGGGACGTGACAGACGGTTATGAGTCAGGGAGGAAGCATACTTGGGGTTTGTTCATGCAACCAGACTTTCTCGTTATGTGTTTTTGTGGTGGCTTAATGCATTTAAGTGAAACTATCAAACATTCTGTTGAACTATCTTCTTATTGCAATTGATTAAGAGGCTATTGGCGGTACACATCGCTATAATTCCATCGCCCAGGCCTAATTGGTAGCCGTAATGCTGCTACCTAAGGGAGCCTTTTCAGTCTGTTCTCACAGAGTTAACCAGCACTGTGCAGCAAAGTGTTTGATCAGCCTAGTTTACCTACAGGAGATTGTGAAAGCTCCTACAGTGTATTTTGCTGTCACAGAGGAAATAAACTCATGACGAGCAGTTAGGAAATTGGCTGTTATAGATGATAAACTCCAGAAGATAACCTGAAAATGCTAGACCACCCCCCTCCGCCAGCAGCTCCTTCAGAAACCAAGGGAGAACGCTGCCAACAGTGAGCTTGGTGGTTGTTTGACTAATCGCAAACCGTGGAAACAGGTAAGGTGATCAATCAGAAGAAATTGCAGGGTTTTCCTGTCTCCTATCAGGAGTTACTCAAAGGAACTGAAGATAGTCGGGGGGAAGAAAACAAACAGAACGGAGGACGAGCAGATATGGTAATTAACAACATTTTCTCATTAAGTTAATAGAAAGTGTAACCCAAACAGAATTACGTTTCCTCCGAAATGTATTTGGTGTTGCAAATTAGTTTTTTCAATGAGAAAAAGTAAAATAAGTGAACGGAAGTGAAGGAATTGTTGCTTGCATCATTGTACAAGCCAATTAGAGATAAAGCCCTGTTGCAAACTTTAATCCCGCAGTTTATGTTGTAACAAATTCATCACCAACTTTTAAAATGTTCTGAGAAACACCGTTTGTAAAAGACAGATCTGTCTAAAGTAAGGTTGTCCTATTTTCAAAGCCTGGGAACTGTGGGCCAGATAGCAGCCCTGATCTCAGCTCTAAGGTGAAAAAATGAAGCCGGGCATCGTTTCAAGTAAAGCCATACAACTGAGCTGAATCAAGACCTATTGAGCATGGTGTGAGCTTGCTGACAGGGTAACTTCAACCCTATTTCCATTTAAAGTGTGAAACATGTCATCACCCTGCTTTAAGATGAGGGGGCACCCAGATTTGAAATAGGGACCTCTTGATCTGTAGTCAAATGCTCTGCCACTGAGCTATACCCCCTGACACTGTTCCAGGAGCTCTTTGAGGGGATACTACAAGTCAGCTAGTCGTGGGTTTGATCTCTGCTACTTGACTAAATTCCACATGACAAAGACAATTTGGGCCAGCAGGCTTTAGGAAGTAGGCAAGAAATTCAACCTCTCATGTCAACCTACATCTGCTCTGCTAGAGTAAGACGCTAAAAGCCGAGCCAGCTCCAGGGCGCTTCCCTGTGCTAAGTGCTGACAAGTGTATGAAGAGGGCTGCAAATGAAAGGAGACTTTTCTTATGAAGATCAATAAAGCACTGTTAATACGAATGTGCTGCCACGATGAAAACAGAAATCTGTAACTAATCAGTCCAAGACAGACTTCTCACACAAGACATGATTATCAGGGAGTTCACGACAAAGAGCACGGCAGTGATGTTTTCATTTTTCCTCCATGTGTTTCTGCTGTGTCCCGTAGACAAATCAAAGCATATCAAGAAGACATATTTAAAGATTCACAGTTCAAATCTATTACAAAAGAGAGGAAGCGGCTTCATCCACGACTGCTAGCGTTCCCGGTTCTGAACTTCAGACTAATGTACCAACATGTGTTTCTAAACAGTTGCATGGGTAGCACAGGAAGTCCTCTGGGTCGTTGCTGCACATCATCAAATTAATTTGACCTTAATGTTCAAATGGCTTCACATGAAACCGGTCCATGAGAGGGAAACAGTGTTTTTCTTTGATCAAAGCTACGATTGTGCGCCAAAGTAAGCACTCTGAGAGCGATCATGTTTGCGGGACGATGGGAATGTTGCATGGGGAGTGTTCTGGGATTTCCACAGAGCTTTAGGGTGGGTTTTAATCTTTATGGATTTGACGAAAAACAGAAGGTGGGAGAGTAGGGGAATGACAGACTAACTGTAGCTGTGGCCAAGGAGATGCCTCGCTATCCCACAAGCAAGTTTATTCATCAGCGCTTCATATGCTTTCATTTTGCTGTCTCACTTCCTAACACTTTGAGTTTTAATGCATTGTGTGTTATTTGGCAAATGTTTCTCTGTGTTAAAGTGCACAGCTTAAAAAAAAAAATCTATATTTTAGTTTATCCAGCAAAGTCACACAGGAAGATCACTTCCATTGTAATCAAGGTAAACTAACAATTTCCATATGAAGAGTTAATTTGCAAAAAAACAGGTACCTCCATCTTCACCAACCTTCACAAAACCCACTTTTCCATCGTCGACCTGAGACAACATCAATCAAACTTAAGTTATCTCTATTTTTGTCATTTCTACTGAGTCAAATCCACTCAACTTCAGGTTGACTGATATCATCTCAAGTAAATAACAAGAAAAAAAGTTTTCTGAAAATCTATAAAAATGGAGTTATCTGTTTTTTAAAATTAACTCTTCATATATTCTTTATAATTAGAAAATGGCTTGTCATTGACATACAGTAAAGGTCCAAATTATCCAAATTTGGATTTATAGTGAATTTGTGTTTGACCAATAGGTTCTGAGCAGTCTGAGTAATTCTTGCACCAACATTTCAAGACGGACACTAAAGCGAAGGACGCCTACCAAGGACTCCACTTGCTCAAGACAGACGTGCAGAGGCTGATCTGGACAAAGAAGAGAGCTTTTTTAATCCACTCTATGGTCAGATGAGGTGAAAATGGAGTTGTTTGTTGAAACATTCGACCCCAAGAACACCACGGTGGTTTGAACGTAATGCTTTGAATGTGTTCTTGAGTCGATGGGCCGAGCAGTTTTGTCAAAGGAAATGGCATCATGAGAAAGTGGATTACGCTAAAACTTCAGGCAGTCTGCATTGTGCAGCACTGGACCTTCCAACATGACAATGATCTAAAACTTAGAGCCAAAGTGGTTCTAAAATGGTTAAAAGAAAGAGATCAAAAGCTCAGAGTGGACCAGCCTGAATCCCATCAAGAATCTGTGGTTGCAACAGAAGACCAGAGCGATGGTGAAGAAGCCTTCCATCCTCAAAGACCTGAAGAACATCTCAAAAGAGGAGTGGAACAAAGTCCCAGTGGAGACATGCACAAAGCTTGTCATAAAAAAAAAAAATAAAACGTTTGTGGTGGTAAATAAAGGGTTTGTCACTGAGATAAGGTGACATAGTGAGTTTTTCCTTGAACAGTTTTAATCTTAAGAAGTTGTGACTCTTGGTCACCTGGTTGACCTGGTGATCCATGTACAGGGGCTACAGTCTCCAATGCAGCGGCCATGGGTTTGAATCCTGCTCATGGCCCTTTGCTGCAACTCCCTCCCCCATTGTCCTCCCACATTTTTAGCTGTCCTGTCTGATAAAGGCAGAAAGCCCAAAAAACTAACTTAAAAAAAAAAGAAGTTTTATGACTTGATAGTTGTCATGATAGATCCTTTTTTTGCAGCATCTCCACATCTGTGTACAGATTTTGTGGGCGTGTGCACATCTGTGAACACCTTTACAACAATTAACCTGTCCTGTCCACGTGCATGCGATGCTCCCATAGTGCGCTTTAGCATGTGTTGTTAAATACCTGCCTGTCCGCATTAAGTGTGTCTAAACATGCGTGCGTTGCCAACCACATGTAGCTGCACATGTGTCTGAGTGCATTCCTCTTCTGTGCTTTGAAGCAGACACATTTCACAGGTGACCTCCCTGTGGAAGACAATGAGAGACACAGGTGGGAGGCTCTGACAAAAGGACTAATGAGGAGGCTGGAGGAATGGTCCACAGGGACAAAGAGTCTGGAGACAAAGAGATGCTAAACATCCCGTAACCCTTTGTGGACTTATTGTGCCGGGAGCAGGAGGTATTGCCCTTGGCCAACTGTGACCCTCCTTTGACATGTTCTACACGATGTAAATGAGCCACAGAGGCTCTCACCGACTAATGAGACAGACGGAGAAATAAAGACGGATTTACAATTTACCACAATTTCCGTGTGTGCATTTGTAATTAAATCGCTTCTTAGAAATATTTTGAATTTGAACAGACATGAAAGCTAATTATAAGTAATTATGCTAATCATTCTTAAGTATAATTATCATGAGATTTGCAGTGATGTTGTTAGATGCAGCCTGAGCTGTTTTCTGCTTTTACTTTATGTGACTTCTTTGAATGTTCTTTGAATGTTTCATAGTTTTGTTTTGGTAAAGAAATACTTTGCCACACATTTGAGTGGAGGACACGTAGCAATGAACTCCCTGTTTTTTTTTTTGTTTAGTTTTTTTTTTTAGGAAAACAAACTGCGCTTTAGAAAAATCTGCTTTTGATATGCCATTAAAGCGTTGACTGACACTACAAGAGGGCTGCTTCTGGTTGGTGTCCTTGCTCGAATGGAGGGAGACTAAAAAGCAAGCAGAACAATTTTGAACAGGGAAAAAGAAATATTAAGCCACCGTGGTCCGTGTAATGCTTCCGAAATGGGTTTGAAAGTTTAATTATCCTTTTTTTTTTTTCTTGTTTACTTTAGAAACAGACAATTGTCTCTCATTTAAATGGTTAATTGTTCACATTAAGGTTGTTGCTTCGGAGTTAGAATTTCCAACAAAAGTAAAACAAAACATAAAAAAATGGACTCATTATTTCCATTTCTGTGTTGTGTGCTTGTGACTGAAGTGCACCATCAGTGCCTGGGGGGGAGTCTGCAGACAGCCATAGATCCAGCAACACATTATGTATTATACGACACATCTAACATGCAATACGTCTTCTTTTGGAAGGCTCTGGAGACGTGTGTGAACAATATTCACAGACTGGAGATATATCGTTGTTGTTCTTCATGTTAAACATTCGAGCAGCAGCCTTCAGCGAATGGCTAAATACATGAATAAAGTGAATGAAAGTAAAGACAGCATGTTGTATATCACTTTACTGATGCTTTAGATATTGTGTAGCCAATAAATGATTGCATGGTCGGATAGATAATATACATGCTGTGCAGTTGGATCCATGGCTGGCTGACCCTGTTGCGAATTGACTAAAAGTTCAAAACACAGAAATGAAAAATTAGAATAATGAGCCATTTAAATTTTTAACAAAAAAAAAACAAATGTGAAAAATTAAAAATTAAGCTGAGAGACAATTATCCATTTGGGAAGTTAAAAAAAAGGGATAATGAAAGTGTAAAACCCATTTATTATGTGATTGAAATCAGTAGGACCGCACTAAATTAAATACTCTCCTTTTAAACACTCTGTGTTAAACATTCTGTATTTAAGAGAGAGAAACAGACAGAGAGAATAAATAAATCGATTTTAATAACGGCACAAGGGATGACTGCTAAAGATTTAAAGCTCTGATTTGGTTTATTAATTTTTTGTTAAAATTTAAAACTAGAAAGTTCTGCTTTTAACTCGACAACAAAAGCCCTCTTGACATTTCTAGTGGGCACAAAGACAGAAAAATATATCGTGATCACCTACCGTTACTTTTTCCAAAAATAGATGAAGACAGGCCAGATAACTAACTCAGTTCACATCTGTGGAAAACTGCAAAGTTTTATCAAGGAACCGCTCACAGTCACGTCGTAGTGAAAGAGATTTACCTCAGCAATACATAAATATGTCAGTGTTAACATAGCAGACAAACAAACTGAGCGTTAAGAGTCCCGTGGGAAGTCAGAAGTACATGAAGAGGCCATATTTCAATAACAGGCAGACACATAATTCTGCTAAATGTCCTTCTGCTCAGTGTCTTTGGTGCTGAGATGACACCAAAGTCAGTGCAAACAAACTCTGGCTCTTTTCCCATGATCCCTGTCACGGGGTTACAGCCAGTCACCATTTGAGTCTATTTCTCCATGTCAGAAAGTGTAAATGACTTTGTTTCCCAATCAGGACCTCGCTGCTCCTGTGTTGCTTTAAGTGTGACACAAGTGACCTGCAGAACCGCTCTCAGCCCAGCTCAGGAAGTAATAAAGCAGTCAACAAACTCACACACTTCCACACACACACACATCTCCACATGATTCAGCTGTCTAGCTATGGCTTTATTAGGGTCCTGGCAGAAGTAATAATAG